CATTAAATGTACACGGTAATATATATAAAATTTTAAAGTGTAAAAGCATTTTTCTTCTCGACGCTTTTCTTTTATATCTATTTACACTATATCACAATGTGCATCGTTGTTTTGTGAACGTCCATCTAGTGTATTTATTGTGCGCAACACATTGGTTAAACTTAGATGCTTTTTCTCTTTCTTTTTTTACTCTTGTTTACTAATCCTAGCAACGACCGACCTTGTTTCTACAGCAAGCCGGTGCTCTGCTAGGGACTCACATGGGTGCAGTAATTGCCAGTGTAGATGGTCATTCTCAACAAATTATGTACAGTTTACAAGCACAACCTCTGGTTTCTTCAAACTCTTCATCAAGAGCCCAAGTTCTTCTTTCATTGGATGAGGCATCTGAATGTATCTCATCTATTGCAGATTCAAACTGTATAACATCTAATAACAGTATTCATGCTGGTGCTGCTCAGTTATTAGATGAAGCAGCTAGTGAATTAGATATTGCATCATCTGTTGCTGTACCACATTCAGTAAGTACTGAAATACTTGGACCTAAAGATTACACTCCTCATTCTACGGAGCTTGATCACAAGCCGGTTATAAACTCCGGTAGTGTTATGATTACTGACGATCTTGTAGGTCTAACCGAAGGTCAAGCAGTCGAGATTCACACCGTAGAGTCAAATAACAGAGAGTGTTTGGAGTCTGGAGTTGACAGTAGTAATCCGCACCCAACCGTTATTACAGATGATGATGAAACCGTTTGAAACGAACACTTTGTCATGTTCTTAATGTTGTCCAGTTTTATTCTTTGCTTCAAAATACATGTATGTATATATGCATACCACTACAGAACAAATTTCGTCCTGTTAACGTAACTCGCCTATAACATGTTTCTTCAACGTTTTATTTGCTCACAGCTATGCTATGTATTAAAAATGTGTGTTCATAAAGTAAAGACCGCTATATTCTGTGAATCGTGTGAATAACTATGCCGAACACGAAATATTATAATAATTCTATATATACCTTTCAGTCTAATTGTTTATATGAGATTTTAATGTTCGCATATTTAAAAAGGTTTACTCCAAAATATCTTGTTTGGTTTTATTTTCAAAACCTAGTATTTATGTTACTTCGTTTATTAAATTATTATTTGCTTCTTGCGAACTAATTCAGCAACCTGTTAGATTGGTCGTATTATGTTTCACAGTCAGCAAACCGCGAATTGTCATAAGTAGTTTTACAGCAGGCTAATTTTATTTAACGATGTCCCAAAAAAGTAGTTCTGGCTAACCCGTTTGTACTTCGCTGATCTAGAAAGTTTATTGGTGAAAACCGCAATGAATATGGTTAACTGCTGTTCCACGAACAGAGTCAATGTTGGGCTTGAGATCTAATGTCCGTCAAAGAGAAACACGTAATGTAAGTTTTGTGTGATCCCGTATTAACCCATGATACTGTACTTCACATTACAGCACCAAGGGAAGAGTAAGATAACCAGTAACTAAGATGACGTCAGCTGGATAAATTTGAAAAAAAAAACATTGGAAAGCATAAATACGTCCAATACGCGGTTTTACAACTGATATACATGTACAATAATGATGCCATCTCATATAAGATTAGTATACCCTGAGAGTTATTTCAGCAGTTGAATAATCTATATCTGATGTTTGTCATTTTCTGGGCTAATAACAAAGCTTTACCGTCCTCACTATTTAGCTGTAAGGAAGCTTAATTTCAATCAATACTATGTATCCATAGAACAATCGGAACCTAAGATATAATTTATTCCTAATTACTAGTATTCCTCACCTTTTTGATCTTCTATAAGTTACATGTTTAGCCAGATCGAGTTTCCGGAAACAAAAAAGCTTTATTCACATCGTTTTAAGAATGATCATTAGAAGTATTGGTTTATAAACTTAGTTTCCTATGGTATATTGAATAGAAAGCTATTTCCCAGGGCTCTCGATATGCAATATCTTTGAGATAAAGCAAGTCCTATAACGTAGTTAATAAGTTCAGGACACTCATACATCAACTAACCTTTATGTGGTTTAATGTTTCAAATAAATCCACCGTTTGCAAACAACTTATTACCGAGCAATGGTCGGAAATGTGGAACCGTTGGCTCTTTCTTATCCTTATGTCTAACCAACTGGTTTGATTCTGTACGATGCGAAGTCAGAAAGATCTGCAACCCCCGATATTATTAAACAAGAACTGTAGTATGACAACTTTTCTTCTGTCACAAACGAAGTAAAACCTGGTCAATATGTTTAGTGATTCAAGTCGCCACAACACAGGGAGATGAAGTTATCAAGACAAATCCCAGAGTAGTAGGAAGTAAACGAAAAATAAAAAGCATATGACTCCCGGACTCAAATGTAAGGGCAGATGAGGAGTGGATGCATCTACTCCATTGGAAGTGACTAAGATCCAACGTTCCCAACTATATAACGATATCAGCGCGGACCCCAAACCAGAGAACATGCATATACCTACGCGGCACAATCATTGATTTCACGGACTGATGCAATGCCTTCGTATCTTGTACTTCTATTGTTCATACAGCTACTCTACCATACCCTCGTCTTCATCAACAAACATTTGTTTGTAAACCACTGACGAAAACACTAATACGGCCCCCAGAAAATTGTGATGGTGCACACTGTATATGCTCAATTATCCCACCCAAACTACATCCTGATACGTTTTAAAACCAAGCACAGTTAGTGACCAACCTTGGCAATGAGGCCTAATGGCTGTCCAACCTTACTCCTGAAAAATTTGTCTGGTTATACCACTTATCTGACTATTACAATAATCTTTTACGGCTCGATGTTCCTAGTAGATCAACAGCTAGTATTTGCCGATTTAATAACCAGGGCCGATGTTACGCAGCCTAGTAACTTCAGTGGTATGAATGTTTCTTAATAAGATTGGTCGCCAGTCTCGGAAAATTAAGTGCTACCAGAGCAAGTGTACCAACCCACAAATACAAGGAACAATGATTTTTAAGTTCACTGATACAATTTGATCAAGTGCAGTAGCTAAATGCATGTTTGTGCTGCATGCTTCACAATTTCTGAGCGCTTGTGATACTACTTAAGTGCCTAAACCGTGATAACTGGAGCAGGTATAAAAATGAGACCCATTGGTTGTAAATCACAGAACTCCATTTTGTGGCATAGACACTGAGAAAAACGAAACTCAAAATAGAGGAAACATCTACGTTATTGAGTTTTTCTAACCGTTTACAACAGATATGATTAACATTCTATCATACTAAAAACAACATAGACTTCAGTCCGTTATATTTTTATGGGCCATAGTTATGCCTTTCCGGGTCGTCTTTTACTGCATTTATTACATATCTAACATGTGACCAAATCCCTATTCAATATTAATGGTATTCGCTTTACATATCTGTACTTTCTTTTCAGTGATCAGTTTTTAGAGATAGTTATAACACACTGCTTGTTAACCGGCTATTTTAGTTCCTAATATTATTATTATTATTATTTTGAAGCAACACTAAATTTCGTGCCATATATCCTGAGTCTTGCTGTCATTATGTTAAACAAATTAGATTAATATTACTGATGCTGAGAACTTCTTAACCTATGTAAAGCTTTCTGCGAAAAGTGTCACAGACAGTTTCTAAATAAACGAGACTTCGAATAGTTACGAATAAAGTTAAACTGTTATGAAGTATTATAAAACATTTGAAATACTTACTGTCCGACTGACTACACATCATAGATGATAATATCAACAACAAACGTCAACCTCAGGAATCGGCAGTCAACTAGGGTGAAGGTTCCTTTTCTGTCCCAAAACAAACCTCACAATAAGCAGTAAATCTGACAAACCATGCAGGACTCACTTCCGCCATCATTGATTTCTGGGAATGTTACGGATTTTAGGACAAAGTAAATATTATTTCTATTGTTTTTTTTCTATCTCACGGGATTTTAAGAGTCAATTACATTAGACTCTTTAGAGCATGAAGGTTAAGGAGATTTACGATGTAATATGTAGTCGCTCTGGCCAAATACCATTAGTTACAAGAATAATCTCCCAAGATATTCAACACTGATGACTTGTTTGTTTGTGCACAGATGGAATTCGTGGAGTCAAACGATGTCTAACTTGTCTACTCCTGTTCGAAGTGTGTGACCAAATAAAATTTTTAGCCAAACTACGAGTAACCTAAATCACAACTATGGTACAACATAGTACAAGTAAGAAACCGACTTTATAGGGACATCTTTTCAGACAGCAATGAAGTCCTATACCACAAGAAATATTACTTCTGAATCAATCACCATATAATTTGTTTATCTGGTGAGAACAGAGTTTAACTTACTGTTACTAAGTCACACCCGACTCACCGGAGTTACTAATTGGTAGAAAACAGTTCATACGTATGCCTACATCTAGGTGGGTGCTATGGTTTTGTTTGTACTGGTAACCTGTTACTAAGCCATTAAGCATATGTGAATTTGTAAACGTATTTACTTATTGTGACAACTGTAATCTTAGAAATCGAAGTTGTTTGTGTGGGTGACTGAATATTGAGTCTAATTCGGAAGTCCGCTTATGATTAGTTAAGAGTTACATTTACATGATGATACACCACACAAACCATTAGATGTCTAGCTTGATATCAGAGGGTACTAAAATGTTTAAAAGACAGAGAGCAAGAATAGTTATTCGTCATGTTTACATCTGTTCTAAATTATCCGAACAAAGAGCAAATATTTGGACTACGGAGAAAAGTGTTACTGAAATTCCAGTAATTTCACGAGTAGGTAGACATTATGGAAAAGTAAAAATAGTCGTCTTCTTTATAGCTCCAAAAAACCTAAGGTGTAGCCGTAGTTTGAGATTCTCCTGTATTCTATTGCGGACATGATTCTAGAGTCAAGTAGACAGGATGTGGAAATACAAACCTCTTCTTCCGAAATTTTCGGTATACATAATTGTATGATTACGAAGCATCCCTAAGCTAGTCCTTTAGGTCGGAAAAAATCTTATGGACCTTGTGCCTCCACGTTTCAAAAAGCCAGACCACATTTCCAATAAATGTAGTATTATCAAGATAATGATCACTACCTTGGGTAGAAACATGAATGACCCAACCAAATAAATTGCTCCGATATGTAGCAATCATCTATTTGTACTTGACTAAGCCTATATCTGATTATTTTTTAAATACCAACCAACCATTCTCTTTTCATCCTACTATGACCGCCCAGAAGATAATAATATGGAGTGGATTCGCAGTTCAGAATAATGAGCAAGCAGGTATAGCAAGAAAATAATAGATAGCACTAGCTTTTTATTCCCATTATAAGTGATGTTTAAAACTAAAGGGTACTAATTTACAAATTAATGTTTCTCATGATGATAAAGATGATTGTAATGAGAGGCAAGCTCTTTACCGGGTATGTCATGAGGGTCGAAGTAGTTAACAAACTTCCTGGCTTTCTTCATCTCATGTCCTTTATAAAAACCATAAATGGTAGGTGGGACGCAAATAAAGAGGCCAACAATGTAAAACTTCAAATATGGCCTATTTTTATAAACATCAACATATGGAAACTGGCGAATCTTAGCAGTGAATGTCCATGGGTAAACCATTTGGCGAGAACTACTTCTCATGTAATTTTCAATTTTCTGCATTAATGATTCCATTGAGGCTTTATAGTAATTCATCGTGCTGAAGTGACGTTAACAACAAACAGATAAGAGATCGAAAGTCAGAATATTGGTACTCCGCGCCAGAGTTTTTATTTCACAACTTATTGAAAATGTTTAACCATAGATTTTTAAACTTAGACAGACAGATTGACACCTTGTCATAACTAATTAATTAATACATATCGTCATCAGTCATGGAGGTGGAATGTAACGTTCAACATTCAGTAGGTTCGCGTTCAGTTTAAAGATACTTGTCCTAGGAGATGTGTGTGCATCAATTTTTATGGGAGAGTCTGGAAGAAAGTGGAAAAAGAAAACAAACCGTCTATATGTATTGCTGAAATAACCAACAATAAGTAGCAATAACACAGACAAACAATCTGATAGTCGAAACAAGAAGTTGGTGTAGATGGGTTTCGTACACGTATGTAATGGTAAATAAATCCTGAAAACAAGACATTCTGTAAGTCTTCAGCATTAATACAGACCTCATTGAATGTGCTGGACACGCCTTGGCTGAATGCGCTTGGTCATGCATCCACACCAAATCGTCACTGAGTACGCCGTGCTACCCATCCCCCGCAACAACTAATCAGCTTAGATTACGCACTACTCGACATATCGAATACCTTCCAAACATACCTTCGAATGTCTTCATTCCTTGATTTTGATTGGACTAGGTTTGGAGTATTTCGGTCATAAAGTTGTTGTAGCCAACAACGCTGTTTAACCCCGAATCTATGCATCTCAATAATGTACTTTTGCTGGCTCACCAGGAACATGAAAATGTCAGGTCAGTATGCCAGGCTGTAATATCATGGGGACAATTGGAGTATTGTGGGGACTAAACCATGTTTTTGTGCTGGAATGTAATTATATGACTGACAACCAGACACTAATATGACGTCAGTACTCCTAATCAACGAAGAACAGTAGATGAACGGTCGTGAAGTGTGTTTGTTCATTTTACTTAGTAAGTTTCATCCGTAACAACCCAGGCTATAGCAATTCTCTCCGTTTGGGATAGAAGAGTGGGCGTCTTTGGCTTCGAAGTGAATAGTTTCAGCAGAACGACCGGTTTTTCGTCTGTGCTAACATTCTATATTCTGAAGCTTGTATGTTCATTTAAGTATCAGATACAACGACGCCTTCAGCTTAAGTTGCATGTGTTACTTTTGTAAGCTTGAGGATTCACTTTGTGTGTGTTTGGAAATCCAATGAGTACATCGCAGAACTCTGCAGTTTGTACCAGTGGGTTCTATGCCAAATTTGGAGAAATGGCTTGACGTTTGTTGGGATTCTGTTTAGGTTTGGTGCACAGTTGACTACATATACCTGATTTAGTACCAAACTTTCAGCGGTACCAAGAAAACCATACTGATTGTCTGAATTAAAGTAACCCATTTGATGACCTACACCTCTGTATTTGTGATGATCTGCTCTACTTTCTAAGATCCGTTTGCATTTACCTCACAGTTCATATAAAACGCTTGACCCTGTGAGTGAGTTCTTTTGCGAATGGATCTTCTGGTGCTCCCGCACTTTGCGTGTGATGTATCTTACGTAAGCCGGTTGGTAAACATCTTTCCATTATCTTGTGGAAAAATGACGTAGGGTGGTGTCCGGGTTTCGTGAGTCCAAACAGTGTTAGACTTAGCAAGGAAGTGCTTGTATCAATCCGCCTTGAATGGCTGTTTCATGAACAGTATTGTTTCTAACCAAGACTCAAAGATGTTACAAGAACAGGGATTTTAACTTGCTACTTAACGTCTCTCCTTGAGAAAGAATTCGGATCCTTTCATAATCTGATAAAAAGGGTTTATTAGTTGATATCCTAATATAGTATATTGTGACTTGAGAGGATTTAAGATCAAATCACAGACTTCTTTAATAAGCGAAGGAAAGAGACCAAAACACAAATCTCTATATTGAATTTGCTCAAACTTACCGCTGGATCACGTGAACTAGTGCTTCAGTTGAACAAATCGCAACTTTGGGTCACTACAATTGCATTTTGGGAGTCTTGACTTTATTGTGACATTAGTGTTTATTTCTATCTCTGTAAAGTTATGCATAAACGAACTGTGTAGTCTTTATAACATTTTCATGTCGCTCTTTATTAACCTATACTATTTTTCATCAATCATTCAACTTCCAATAATGAATCATTCGGAGTAGAATACGTTCGTGCTGGAGAATCGTGTAGTTAGGAATCAGTGTTGTGTTGGGAGTAGTTCAAAATATTTACGTAACTACAAACTACTATGTTAGGTTTCATTATTTTCGCAACTTTCAGATGAATATATTCTACTCAACCCTTCATCATATTTGTTAATGATTTGACCTCTCAATTTACACACGGATACTAAGCGTCATAATTCACGAGTGTATAAATTGACCTTGCCTTGAGGACAAGCCAAGGCAAAATTTGGGTGCAACAAGTATTTTCGCACTAAAAATATAGTAGCCTCATCTCCTATAATTATCTCGCTCTGATCACGAAACGGCATAATATTCGAAGCGAATAAATCTTGATCAGTGATGTGAGAAGACAAGCATGTTCCCTTGACTTGAATCTTCGCCTTTACTTTCTATCTGACTCAGTTCGTCCATCTTACGAGGAAAGTTTGATGCGTTCAAACGGCAAGTTAATGTTCTCTACTCAATATGTGTGTGGTATTAACTGTTATAGGAGATACAACTTCATATTTTGTGATTTAGGCCTATGACCGGTAGCATCAAACTCCCTTCTGTCATTAGGCCAGTAGCCCTGATACGATGCCATTGACTAGCCACAATATAGCTGCATAATCTATGAGACCTCATGTAAAGTCATATGATTGTCCTTACTGGTTTATCCTTTTGTGATACCCGCCAATCTCATTAATAACCTTTGAAGGACACCTTTGAAGCGTGGGTATGATATTGTGCCGTATGAACATCAGAAGCTTACAAAGAGCGACTACGTCTGCATGGTCGAACCATGCTGTCGTGATTAGGTGCTTCCTAACTCACCCTTTTTGATCTTCTCCAAGTATTCATCGGCTAATGTGAGTCTTCTAAGTTAAAGTACGTTTGGCCTCAGAGACAGTGTGGTTATGAAGTGGCATTATTTTAATATCATCACAGATTCATGGATTTGTGACTTATGCAGAAATAGTATCCGGGCTTTGTGAGACTGATCTTAGGTGGTACGCCAGTCCGTGTTCAGACAGTTTTGACAGCCTACATTTGAGAAAATTTAAAAGTGGGACTCTATGTTTCGTGAATTCCTGATTTCCAATAAATTCATGTTTCTGCCTCGCAAGAAGGACTCGGATTTATTTTGTTCGACTAAATGGTTTTGTGGTAAATGTAGGGTTATCTTTGGGCAGCCATCCCTTAGGTTCAAAAACTATAGATTATAGATTGCTTATGTGCACGCAACGGCCCGTTGACATGATTTGATTAGACTGAAGATGGCACAGGTATTCAGTGTTTGACAACGCTTTCGCCAGTAAGACCTTCTAATATAACTCGTACCCACCAAGAGAAATCAAAAGACAGAATCGAGGAGATCCGAAGAGTGTATTTGACGATTGCCAATATATCGGAATTGCCTGATCTAGTCTGGCTAGCGATTGCAGTAGATGTTGAGCACGGCGTTCCCACACGTGATCTGGTGCGGATGCATGACCGAGCGCCTTAAGCTAGGTGAGTCCATTAAAACATATGGTCAGCATCCAATGTCGAAATCTTACAGAGCTATTTATTTTGGGGATTTATTTACCGCTACAGATCACTCCCGTCCTAGTGGGGTAGTTATGACCCTAAGACGTGGCCAGCCAGAAGTTTAAACCCAACGAATTTTGTCGTTGGTAAACACTCTTCTGATAGCTTGCTAGGTTTAGCAGCGTCTGGTCGTCTTCCCTTAATATAAGGGACCAAGAATTACAATTTAGTAAGAAAATAATGTACAATGAAAACTTCGGTTCATCGTAAATCTCATGGAAAAGAAAAAAATGAATATGTAACCGCATGTCGAAATAAACTCATACGCGCTTTAAGACACAAAATGGGCGAAGAAAGGTCAATAACGTAAAAGCAATTTTTACAAAGTGAATTTTTTGTTTGTTTTTTAAAATCTTTATAATATACACATTTGTTATGACCTAGGATTTATTTTTATTCCATTGGGTTTTCGTCTGATGCGCTGCGACCTCCTCGGGAGTGTTTCATACGTCTTGTTATTATTCGGATCATTTTTAATTTCATTATTCGACTCAGTTAATATATTTATTGGTATATTCGACTTTGTATCATTTTCTGTCTCTCGTTCTTGTCTGGTTGGCTGTATCTGGTTTGCATGACGTACCCATATCTTTTGTCCAACTTCGTAGATAACTTTCCCTTTTTTCGTATTATTATGCCAAACTGCCAAGTTAGCTTTACTCCCGTGAAATCTCTTGTTATTACCGCTTGTCCCACCTTAAACATTCTGGGCAATGCACCGTTCCGCTTGTTGAATTGCTGTTCCATTCGTTTGTTCTTTCGGAGGTTGGCTCTAAGCTTTGGTTTCATTTGCTCCATAGGTATTCTAATCTTTCTCCCAAAAATTGCTTCTGCTGGGCTTTCTTGATTATTTGTTGCTGGGTTCGGTGTTGTTCGGTAGGTTTGTAGAAATCTTTGAATCATCTCTTCTATTTCCCCTTCACCCTCAGCTTTAAGTAGTGCTCTTTTAAACGTATCTACGACCCTCTCGACTAGACCGTTGGACTGCGAATGGTACGGGGGTGTCTTTATATGCCTAACTGCATTTGCGATGCAGAACTTCGAGAATTCAGTGGAGGTGAACTGTGGCTCATTATCAGACACCAATACATCTGGACACCTAAAACAACTGAATACTTATCTCAGTTTTTCGATAGTAGCTTTTGTCGAAAGAGATTTAACGTAGTGGATCTCTGGCCATTTTGAGAAAGTATCAACCATCACTAAGTACTGTTTCTCGTTTATGGGACCGGCGAAATCTACGTGTACTCTTGACCATGGATTTGTTGGTGTCCCCCAACTCTGCATTTCTGTCTTACGAGGGGCTTTGATAACTTTTGCACACGCAGAACATGTCTTAACATATTCTTTGATCTGAGCGTCAATATTCGGCCAATATACATATCCACGTGCAAGTGCCTTCATCCTTGCTACCCCCGGGTGTGCAGCATACAGTTGTTACATCACCTTACGGCGTAAATTTGTGGGTAAAATTACTCGATTTCCAAACATCAAGCATCCATCCACAAGTGAAAGGGAATTCCGACGGTGGGAATACTGTTCAATACTTTTGTCGTCTATATGGGCAGGTCAACCATGTTCGAGGT